ACTCCAAGGCAACAGGCTGGATGTGTATACGGCGCGTAATCCAGGACGCCAGAGTAATGATCGCGAGTCACGGCCATAAAGTTGCGGGAGGGGTCCGTTAAGAATCGTACGAACTCGCGGCACACTTCGCCAACTCTTCTCCATTCTCCGGCATTCCGATCCTCATAGGGGCTTGGGACAAACGCAAGTGTTCCACCGTCTTGGAGGTGTCTCTCGATGCTGATTAACAGCTGCCTCATCTGCCTGCTTTCAGGTAATTTGTCTGGCCATACGATGACTATGGCTTTCATAATCTCGCGGGCGGTCAACAGCTTGTTGGCAAGCGTTCCGAAGTCCCGATAAACGTGTAGCATAACGTTGTCTTCGTATGAGATTTCCGAATCCAATCTTGCGAAAAAAGGTGGGAGTGCAATGAACGTACGGACCGCATGGCCATGGGTAGATTGCGGGGTGGTTGTACTTCACTCCCTTCGCCTCCTCCACTCTTTTGGCATACAAAGGACATCGACGTCGATGAGCGTCCATCGCTACAGCGAGTCCGTATGGCGTGAGATACTGCGAGTGTTTCCGTCTAAGCTCTAGCTCTTTCCTTTCGTCCGACCAACATTCTTGCTCCGAAATGCTCGCGATATTGGCCAGTTGGAACATGTCCTTGACTGTCTTGGCCCTTGCTAGCGGGTGTTTCAGACCAGCTATCGCTACATGCGCCATCTGTCCGAATAGACCACAACTGCAGCGAAATCTCAGATTCAAACGGTCGTCGGAGGCCAGCAGGGTCCTGAAAAGAGAGATTTTGTTGCATCGGACTTCTTGCGTCTTATTTTTCTTAGGACGCCCTCTTTTACCCCTGCTTTTTCTCGTTAGCAATGGCCGTCGGAGATACCCCGGGGTAGCTTCCTAAGTAAGTCAAAGGGTACCCTTACTGGCTCCTTATCTTGGTTGATCAGTGTAATTAAGGCACTATTTTCACTGGCCTTTATAACCCGGTAGGGTCCTTCCCAGGGATTCGCTAGTTTGGGATGGCTTGCGGACTGTTTCTCGCTGGGGATTCGCATGTAGACCCAGTCGCCGACCTTGGGGGGTGCAGGGCAACTCTCCACTCCCTTTTCACGGTCATATGAGGCTTTCATACGCTCCCGCATTTTGTCATTTACCCTGCGGGCGTACTCACGCGCAATTTGCGTCCCTAAAGCCACCTCTTGGGCATAGCTATCTATGTCCACTGCGTATCTGCGGGCTTCAGGTTCCAAATCCCATGGACATGCGCGTCGAAACCGTGCAACAGGAAAAATGGGGACTCTCCAGTGGACTCATGCACTGTGGTATTGTACGAAAACACACACGCGGGTAAGATTTTATCCCATTCCACTGCGACGGAGACCTTTTTTCTCAACATCGAGATGATGGTCTGATTAAACCTTTCAGTGAGGCCATTTTCACGAGGATTATACCCTTTCGTGAAGATCTGGTTGAACCCTATCAGCTTGTGTAGCTCTTCCATTAGCTTGTTTTCGAACTCCCCTCCCTGATCTGAGAGGAGACACTTGGGCTGGCGTCCACCCTCTGCCACCCATCGTTCAAAAAACACCCGCGCTACCACTGGTGCAGCTTTGGATGGGACAGCGTAGGCACCAGCGAACTTTGAGAAATGGTCGACTGCGGTTAGGATGTAGCGGTTATCTTCCGTGACCCATTTCCAAAATGTCTATACCCACTACCTCAAATGGCCTAGTGGTGACAATTGGACGTAGTGGTGGGATCACTGCTTGCTGAGGGTTGTGACACAAGCATTCTCGGCACTCTTCTGCCCAGCGCCAGATGTCCCTTCTCATAGATTCCCAGAAAAATCTCTTACAATTAGATAGCTCCCGCCACATCTTCTTGGCTCCGAAGTCCCGCTAACACTCCGTAATGTGCATCTTCAAAGAAATTCTTTCTCTGGGAGGGTGGTACCACCTTCCGCAAGCGATCTTTATCCACCAGCATAAGGTGACCTCCACTTATGATAAAATCCGCTACTTTGTACCTCAGCGATGATCCCGGAAATTCCACTTTTCCATCCACTTCGTCCTTTTCCAGTCTTTCTATAATCTTCCGATAGGATGATATCTCCCGAAGTTCCTTCATCCATTCCGTGTCCTCGGACATGGACGCCACTATAAGCGCATTTTGCATAGAGTCGTTACATGCGCACAAATCTTCCTCAGTGGTTGCCCCCCGACTTAGCGCATCCGCGAATCGATTTGCGGCCCCTTTCAGGTATACAATCTTCAAGTTGTACTTCTGCAGTTCGAGTGTCCACCGAAGGACTCGATCCGACACATTTGTACGTTTGAAGATTGCGGTCAACGGCTGGTGATCTGTGTATACTTCTACTGGCAGTCCATAGACAAACATGTGGAACTTCCTTAAAGCAAAGACCACTGCCAAGGCCTCTAGGTCAGTTATATGGTATCTTCTTTCGCAGCTGGACAAGCCCTTGGACGCGAAGAAGATTGGATGCAGCAGTCCATCCTCCCCTTCCTGGCTGAGCACCGCTCCTAAGGCTTGGAAGCTGGCATCGGCTGGCGACCGCAAACCCTTCCGCGTGGCGTTTTACCAGACTTCGGATGTCGTCCTCGAGGTTGCCGCTCGACTTGCTCTTCTCCAGCAGCTTCATTAGGCGCTCTTCTCTATTTTGCGCTTCAGAAGCAGTCCTCTCCAGCATGTTGCCTTGATAGCTGAGAGGTTGCTGTTCCACTACCTCCATAGGTTCGAACGTTCCAATCTCTTCCCCTTCTCGGAAAAGCTTGGCTCCTGACAAGCAATTAGTCATCGGAACGTTTAACGAAGTACTATCCTTGTCCCAAACCATATCGGGAACCATTCCACACTTTGACCAAAAAATCCTTTCTTTTGGTCTGCCTTTTCGGGTAACAGGCAACACCTTCGTCTCACCTGGTCCGATGTACACTCGTTCCATACTGATGACGACTTCCTGTTGCTGTTTCCGTCTTCTTTTCGGCTTCTCCTTTGATTTGGGTACTTTTGCTTCAGTACCGTCGTTTTTCGAAGTGCTCTTATTGTTGGCTAAGGAGAATCCGAGCTTTGACAGCGCGTTTGTACCAAGCACAATCATGCCATCCGCTCCTGCCATCACGAACAGTGATATTTTCTGCTTCACACCGCTCTCTAGCTCAATCGTGAGCTTGACTGCCCCCTTGAATCTCATTCGGTTGCCCGAAGCATCGTATACCGGAGCTAGGTGGTCTATCGCTACCTCCTCAGCATTGGCATCCAAGTCACATCCGCTGTCTCGGCTGGCTACTAGCATTTGCAGCGGTATGATGCTTACTTGGGAGCCCGTGTCTATCAGTGCTTTTCGCGATAGACCTAGCAGATGGACATTCGTAACCATCTACTCCCCCACTAGCTCAGTAACGCTTTCTGTTGTACCCAATGTACCGCAAATCCATTTGTTTAGTGAAGTTGTGAGAATCCTCGGTGCATCCCCATTGGGTTCACTTCTTTTTGGTTTTCTATAACTACGGCGGCTGTGGGATCAAATTCAGCGTACATGTGCTCATTACCTTCTTCCGTGTGAGGATGATCTTCTTCTTAAACTCTTGACGTGGACTGCGTGGGACCCTAAATTACCTTCGTTGAATTCATTGGTCGGATCTCTATGCTTTCCACAGACTCGTCTACGAGTTTGTTAGTTGCTCGTGCGCAGCTGATAGTGAGACGTAGCGCTTTGCATAAGAGCCTGTCTTGCTTTTGCAGCAGTTCTTCTACGCCTTCTAGGCTTTTGAGTTCGCTACTTATTTCCTCACATTCAGTTTCAATGCAATTGCTTGCGAGGGTTACAAGATTTTTGCTGGTCCTTGCTTGCGCGCGGGTTAGTTCGTTCTGGTTTTTAAGCGCGGATGGAATTGACTGCAGCGCTTCTACTTTTGCTCTGAGCTTTGCAACTGAGAGCTTTACCTGGGCGGTTCCGTTTTAAGAGATCTCCTGTACCGCCGCTACGAGTTGCTGAAGCGTTTTCTGCATAGTCGTAAGTTGCTCAGTGGGCACCTCTTCTAGGTTGAGCTTGTCGAAGTCAATTTATTCCATATTAGCACTCTCCATTGCGAATACACTGCAATCAATCGACTTAATTGCTTTTCACGTTGCTTCCTCAATCACAACAACGCGAGTCACAAGGAGAGGGTTGGTGTTTGCCGCTGCAACGTATGTTCCTTTTGACCCGAGATGTTCGATATCGATACACGCAGCGGGGCTGGTATATCGAAGTCTCAATCCCAGGATGAGTGGCTTATGCCGCCTCAGCTAGGAACATACACTGCCAGTCGGCAGGATACTCGCCTTTCCCGCTTACGCGGTCTTATCGGCGGTGTTGGGTTGGTTGGGTTCGGCCCCCATGTAGCGCATCAGCTGGGGATGCTGATGCGGAGGGCGTCTGGCGTGGAGCAGAAGAATAGAAATAAAAAAACTTTATCCGGACAAGGCCGGAATAGAACAATAACAATAAGAACAATAACAACCTAGCCGGCGGCCTTTTATAGCCGCGCGGGTACAAAGTACAGCATGATCTACAATAAAACAATAATCGTTAACAACACAAACCTACGCAACTCTAACAAATATCTTTTATTTCTCATAGCTATTCTATATTTCCTTCACACTACAAATTAACTATCACATTAGAACCGAAGCAACTAGGAGAGCGCTTAGTGTCTATCTTACATTCGTAACAAAAGTTTTTGACATTTTTTGTTGCGCATGTTTCTTTAAAAAATGATCACTAATTTGCTAACTCCCCGTTGACTTGTTAAGATACCTAATATGTGTTTATAAAGAGCGTCGATTGTGTTTGGTACAAATTCTACGATTTGCGAAGTTTGCTGCAGTTGCAGATCTATATAACTATAAACTTCCGAAGGCCTTGTTTTCAATTGCCTCAGCTAGCTTTTCTATTAGCGAATTTGGGAACAAACGAAAGATGTCCATGTAACATCAGAATGCACGATGACCTAAGAAACAAGTTTTTGGATATGCACAACTACCGCAGGTGGGATCAAACAGTCATCTTTTGTGAACCACTCTTGCCATTGACCACTCCACTTACATTTAGAGCTCAACTGGCAAAAAGCAATATTGCCAAAAAGAACTGCAACTACTTACCTCAATCTTCTGACATGCAAAGAATGGTTGCGCAGCACATAAGAATTTCAATTTTTTTTAATCTTTGCTTTCAGAGATACGATTGTGCTTTGGAAAACAACGCTGCTGACTATTTGAGTACATGTCCGTCATCCAAATCAGCTGAGTCCTTGCGACCAGGTGTTGGAGAAAATTTCGTCCGTGTCTCTCAGGAGGGATTGGCGACTTATATGGCTGCAGCTCAGAATGTAAAAGTTGTACTACACGAGAAATTTGCAATTAATACTGTTTTAGGCTGTAAGTTCGTGGTGGAAAGTGATACGCTTTGAGGAAGGTCCTGGTCTACAAGTTTATTTCAGACAAAAGCACATCGGCACTGCTATAGAATCTTTTACGCAGGTACGAGATTACTCTTCTGAAATCTCTGCTTTAATTACATGTTTATCATATATTCTTTGAAAGCAAATACAAAATGTGGGACGATAGACTCTTTTCAAATACGTTTAGATGGCATGGTCTACATCTCGCAAGCTTGGCTGCGCCATCGCAAATTGCGGCAACGATTACATCGCAGCCTACCGATACTCACCTAAGTAAGACCACGATTCCTCATTTCTACTCGTGCTTATGCCTCTACTTCAGAGGTAATCATGTGGACCAAGTAATCTACGAAAAAGGAACTCCTTGCACAGCTTGCGCAGCCGGTTCCTGGTGCACGGAAGATGCACTCTGCACCTTACCATAAGTAGAGCTCTACTGTTCTAAGAAACCTGCAAAAGAATCTAAAATCGTGCATTTTTTGCAGTTATTGTTTTATAGTGTCAGTAAAGTTTTTCGGCACTGTCATATTTGCTACTACATTCTTCGTTCAGCCTAAGCAACTGCTATCGCCTTTTTTCTACTGCAACAAAAGACTGATTGTAGAAAAACTCTACCATAAAAAGCACGTAGTATGGTTTCACTCCACTGCTAAAATAGATGGCGTGTGAATCGTCCGCATCAGCTTTGATCAGCCTCAGATTTGATGCCAAAATGTAAAAAGTTCTGGATTTCCAAAAAAACAGGAATAATGATTCATGCTTCGTCCAGAATATTTTACGGATCTCTCACTTGGTCACGCGTGCACTTTCCACATCAGACACTCATGTATACCGTTGCTATATTCTTCCATTGTCTAGGTATCGGAAAAATGAAAGCGTCAGGTTTTATTGCAATGTTGAGTCCTACCCAACTATTAGTCATATATTACGATTATTTGGAAGTACAACCGTTAGCTTTCACTTCCTTAAGTGCTAGTCTACAAAGATATTGTCAGCATAAAACATCCCCTGATCAAAAAGATGCTAGACTGTAACATAAGTCTTGTTACACTAACTTCTTACCGCGATAAGTTGTACACTTGATATATTCAATGGGGCTCCAGGGTCCGTTCGATAGAGCAAAGCAAGCTCTACAAGGAGGCATGCAAAAGTTCGCATTGACTTCGACCCACCGTAAGTTTGCAGCAGAATCTAAGTCGTACCAAAGGCTCAAAAAACTAGAAAAAAGTTTGGTACTTTTCCGTTATCCGGACCCATTTTTTTAAAAAGCTCTCGTAAAATACGTTCTTCATTCTAAGAACAATTTTTTATGGATTCCACGAGGACTGCCTTTCTGCCACGTGTCAGGGAAATATTAACACGTTTTGGTCCATTCTGACATGTTTTTTTTCGAAATTACTTCCGGTGAGGTGAAAGAGCATTTATGATCACTCAAAAGCTGTTTAATTGGTTTATGTGAGAGCAAAACAATCTGAAATTTATATCAGAACATCTTGATCGCTTTCAACAACAATTCAGCATTGTTTTTTTCTTCAAGCTTTTCGTCCTGCGAATTTAGCCAGACGAGACTATAAATGATGGCTTAAAGTTGCTTGCTACTGCTTGTTTTGTCATTTAAATGATGGGATCCTACCACTTCTCTACTCTTAGCAAGTCTAATCTGTTTAATTAGTAACAGAATGACGTTATTATGATAACAATGCTCATTTTTGATAGTTTAATCGAAAATGGGGTCACTATTGACTGATAAAGAGATTGAACTTACGTCGCTAAGTAGGGCAACTCAAACTCTTGGTTAAACCTGTTAAACATGTAAAGGACATGTCAAATTTTTTTGAAAAGTGGCAGAAGGTTGACACTCCTTTCTATGAAGTCGGGACCAAATATGGTGCGAGGAAAGAAGCAATATACCTTTGAAAAAATGGGTCCGGATAACGGAAAAGTACCAAAAGTTTATATCTTTATTCAAAAAATCCTACGCATAGATGCGTTGTGAGAATTTGCTCCCCCTCTTTACCCCTGAACCGGGACCAAGGTGACCCCCTTCATCGAAAGCCGAGGAAAAATCAACAGTGATGTAAGGTTAAGCAAAGGAGATATTTGTAGGAGAATTGTTTGTGTATCGGAAAGGAGGAAGAAGATTTATAAGCATTCACGAACTTCCAGGAGGAGAAAAATAGTAGCTTCTGTAGCTAGACAGCAACTTCCGCAAGAAAAGTTGCGTGGTACAATTTCCTCTCCGGTTTCAGAAAATAAATAGTTTGCCTAGAGTTTGTTCATACAATTACTAAGTAAAAGGTGTGCCTAGTGATTTCTGGACACTTACGAGTCTTCAACATAAAAAAATTCATAACTTCTGCAGATGAATAGCTGCTGCAAAAAAATAGTCGCCATCGGAGCCGCCTCGTACTCCGCTTTCAGAAAATATATAGCATGTCTGAGATCCGTCCAAAAAAAGTGCCTGGGTGAAGGGTGTGCCTAATGATTTGAAGATTTTCGAGTTTTTAACATAAAACATAACTTTTGTTGATGAACATCTTGTACGTCTAGATGGTCACATTGGAACCGTCTCGTCTTCTGCTGTCAGTGAATATATAGCTTGCTTGAAGTCCATTGAAAAAAGTGCCCGGTGAAGGGTGGGTGAGATTCTTTTTATAGGAGTTCTCAAGTAGACGTTCTTCAACAAAGGTGAAAAAAGCCTCCACCTGAGAACTCCCACTATAAGAGTCTCACAACCCCCTCACCCGGCATTTTTTAATAGGACCCCAAGCAAACTATATATTTTCTGAAAGCGGGGGACGAGGCGGTTCCAGCGGTGACCATCCCGGCGTACAAGATATTCATCAACAAAAGTTATGAATTTTTTTATGTTGCAAACTCAAAAATCTCCAGAAATCATTAGGCACACCCATCACCCAGGAACTTTTTTGGACGAATCTCAGACATGCTACATATGTCTGAAAGCGGAGGACGAGTTGGTTCCAACTGTGACTATCTCCTTGTACAAGTTGTTCATCTACAGAAGTTATGGATTATTTATCTAGAAGTTTGTAAATATTCGGAAATAACTGCCCACACCCTTCACCAGGCACTTTTCTCAAAGAAAACATGGTTTTGGAAACAATTTCCTTGCTGACGCTGCTGTTCATCTACTGAAGTCATAAATTTTTTCTTTCAAAATTTGTGAATGCCCAAAAATTGTCTACCTCTTTCCCGAAACACATGTTCTTGCATACACTTCTTCTACTTTATGGTATTCTCGAAAACAGACAGGATGTTCCCAGTCCTTCAGTCTTCACAAAAAAAAGGCAGTGAATGATGGTAGAGAATTAAAATGATAAAACGCTGATTAGGGAGAATGATGAGAAAACACCATTACTCTTCTATTTCTCGATCAAGTGATACACCCTTCATCCTGGAAGGGCTGCGACCACAGTGACCCCTTCACCCTGAAGGAGTCATTACCTTATCGCACCTATGGTCCGAGCGCTTGCTGAATGTTTGGCCAGCGCTCGCTGAAAAGGATTATTTGCCGAGCGCTCGCAGGAAAGGCTGTATTGTAGTCCGCTGGCAGAATATGCGACAGTAAAGGAAGTTTGGCCACGCACCAAAATTCTGCTGACCGCCTGCAGAAAAGCACGAGTTTGCAGACCGCCGCACTTATCATGCTCCATGAGCTTTGCACGTTTTGAGAGCTCTGCCAATCTAAACGAATTGGTACGGATGGCTTTAATATAGAGACATATTTGATTATCTGACTCTAACACAAAAAAATTGAAAAGAGATTCCAAAGGCTTTTGAGTTGGAAAGTGTGACAAATAAGGGTTTGTAATATAGGGCTAGCTGAGTCCTATGGTTGAGTAGATCAACCCCTCAAATACGGCGCGATAGTTTGGTCGTTGCACCAAAAATGTGGCGACTCAAGGCTTGTGGCCAGAAATGCGATGGAGGAGCCGCGTACACCAAAAGTGAAGGCGCCAAAAGTGAAGGTGGTAGTGCAGGACACTCACTGTTCAAGAACGACGACCGGGGGGGGGGGGGGAGAGGGGGGAAGGGGGACAGGCGACGCCTCTTTTCGCAAAAGATTTTTTTTTCCTTAAAAGCTTCATAAAATTCTTCACTGACTAATAGTCGTTACCTACTGCGTGCACCCGAGCCGTTATCGGATGGACGCATATACGCCTCAGCACTCTCTACAATTCTGGAGAACAAAGCTTAATGATGACATCGGATAATTCAAGAGCTCTAACCCGACGGTCTTCTTTAGGGCCAACAACCGTGATCCAACGGACCTCTTTAAGGCCAAAAATACGATGAATACAGCGGCATAAAAAGTCCAAATAACGTGTTAATCAAATGATGTAATTGGAAATGAGATCAGCGACCTTTACGGATTTTACCAAGTAAATTTTGTTATAACGTACTGCGAAGAAAGAGGTCGATCCAGGCAGTAACCGCTGAGAACCAAATTTCGAATGATAAAATAGCGAAAATTATGCGAAACTTCCACTGCTATGAATCTGGTGGTTGAAGATGTTAGCAAGTGACTTTATGGGACTCAATGGTAAGCGTGTTATACCAGATAGAATTGAATCAAAAACGAAACGGGGATTCCACATAGACCGCCTCTTTTTTCCTAGCGCCCCTATACTCGGAGATACATGGCATTTAAGCTGAAAAGGTGCGTGTTTTTGTGAGGAAATTTCTACGCAAAAATGAATGAAGATGCTCAGTTGTCTAACTGTGTCACAGAGCAAGACTTTGCCAGTGCCAGTAAGCCGTCACTTTTTATCTAGCTTTCCTCTTCCTCTCAGAAACGGAGCGCAAAGTAATCGCTCAAAATCAGCTGATGCTGCAGCTAGATGAAAAATTTTATATGTGAATTCACAGGAAAGCCAAAAAAAGAGACGGTCTGCGTTCATTCGACATTTTCCAAGCTTGCGAATGGTGTGTCAATTAATGACACTTGATTGATAAAGCTTTCTTGAATCAAAAAAGTCTCTGTTCGATGACCTTTCAGAACCAAAACATCGAAAGGTTCTTCATATCACACTTCTGTACCACCTATTTTCCCTCTTTGTACACCCCAGTCCCACTCGCCATGCAAGTTTACGTCAGCATTCACCTGAAGGCTCAGTTAGCCCCTTCACCTTTCTAGGTTGGAAATAGCAGAAACCCCCTTCATCAGGAGGGGACCCCGCTTTCGCTATCGCACCTATGTTCATGACCAGGGTCAAGCGTGAGGTGGGCATGCCACACCCCGGGATCGTATCGGTCAGAGGGGGGGGGGGGAGTCGTTCATCAAGATGATTCGTTAATAGTGTCAGATAGGCCCACCATGCAAAATACTACTCATTGATGTTTTGTCCACCACTACGTACAGTGAGCATAATAAAACAGTTCCAAAAGCACAAGATCATCATTC